GCCCCCCCCCCCCCCCCCCCCCCCCCCCCCCCCGAGGCTACAGAATAGTCAACTAATGGTTACGAATTCATGAGGTGACTCGACTAGTCAATTAACTGATATTTAACATCCCTACTTCGAATATGTACAATGTCTTAAATACCAACATGGTGACTATTTCACTAACGAATAATGCTCTCAAGAAAGAAGGGGGATGTTCATATTAAGAAAATTTTAGAAATCATTGTGTCGTATATCTCCTTTCAGCATCTTAACTGAGTGGAGTTATTGGCAATTATAAGCTTTGGACTCTTTGGCTATGTCTAGATTACAGGCGTCTTTCACAAGAAGCTTTTTTTGAAAGAGACCTTCTGAAAAAACTTCTTGTGAAAGAGCATGTCCACACACAAAAGTGCATTGCAAAAGCGACGAGCTTTTGCAAAAGAGACGTGCTTTTGCAAAAGAGAGTGTCCAGACAGATTGGATGCTCTCTCACATAAAAGGCCACCCGGAACCACTTTAACCAGGGCTTTGGGTCACCAGTTGCTTCCGAGTGCTGGTGCTGGAGCCTTGCAGAGGCACACGCTTAAAGGGCTCATCTAGACTACGCTAAAGCACTGAAGTTTCAAAAGAGGATATGCAAATTCGGTGGGAATTTGTATATCTTCTTCTGATCTCACTTTCGAAAGCTCCAGAAAGTAGTCAGGATGAGTTTTTTCTGCACTCCCCTCCCTTTTCTGAAAAGCTGCTCTTCCTCAAAAAATGAGGTTTATGTGCCTTTTCGAAAAAGGGGAGGGTTCGCGGAAAAAGCCGTGTCCAAACTACTTTCACTTTCCAAAGTTCTGCTTTCGAACGTGAGATTGGAAGAAGATATGCAAATTCCCGCAAAATTTGCATATCCTCTTTCGACACTTTAGCATAGTCTAGATGAGCCCAAAGGGACCTCCCCCAGACAGCCGTTTCTCTGCTTCTGTCGCATGCTTGTTACCTCTTCGAGGGACAGCAAAGCTCTTGCAGTGCCTGCTGTGGTTGCCCTGTTCTTTTTTGGATGCCCCAACCTCTTCCTTTGTGCCATGGAGCTGGAGCTGCCCCTGGGCATGTGATGGCCCCACTTTCTGCCAGCTGCCTTCCTGGTCCTGCACGACCAGGACCCCAAACTCATTCTGGGGACCCTCTCCATGGCTGTGGGTGTTCTACTCTGGCAACTGCACCCCACTGTGGAGATGCTTTTTTGGAGGCTCGACACCAGTTCGGACTGGTGGGACCAGCTGCTCATGAAGCGGTAGAACGACCAGCAGTGGCTCCAAAACTTCCGCATGTGGAAGGCCACCCTTTTTGAGCTATGTGCCTGGCTCACCCCCATCCTCTGGAGACACGACACCCCCCTGTGGCCCACCATCCCCCTGGAAAAGTGGATCGCCATCGCCCTTTGGAAGCTCTCCACCCCCGACAGCTACTGGTCGGTGAGCAGCCAGTTTGGCATGGGGAAGTCCACCGTCGGGGCCCTCCTCATGGAGTTAAGGCGCTCTAAGGATGGAGTCCTGTTTCTTTGTCTCCTTCTGCAGCGTGTGAGGGCCATCAACTCAATCCTGCTGTGGAGGGTCATCCGTCTGGGAGACCTAGATGCAACTGTGGCCAGAATTGCTGCCCTGGGGTTCCCAAACTGTGGGGGAGTGTTCAATGGGATCCACATCCCAATCCGTGCATGGGACCATCAAGTGGCCCAGTATATGAAGAGGAAGGGCTACTTCTCCATAGTGCTGCAGGCCCTGGTCGACCACAGGGGACACTTCCCAGGCATTTTTGTTGGGTGGTCAAGCAGGGCACACGATGCCCAAGTGTTCAGGAACTCCAGCCTGTACAGGAAGCTGGAGGCGAGTACATTCTTCCCCTGCCATGACTTTTCAGTTGGAGACGTGCAGAAGCCATTGTGCATTGTAGGGTACATGGCATACCCCCTCATGCCGTGGCTGAAGCCTTATACTAGCCACCTGGATCCTAGCAATGCCCACCTGAACCGGGCCCGGAACCGGTGCCTCCTCACCTGCCTCAACATGGCGGAGTACAACATTCCCAAGTTGGTGGCAGCATATTGTGTCCTCTACAGCATCGTGGAGAGGAAGGGGGAGGCCTTCCTCCCGGGGTGGGGGCAGACACCGGCGACGAGGGGCGAGCTTTCCAGCAGCCGTGAACAGCTGCCATCTGCCAGGCCTATCAGGCATCTGTGGGATACTGCCTATGGTGTCCACTTGGGTCTGTGGTAGTAGGAGTCTGTGGATTTCCACCAGGACTGTCAAACATGGTTGACACCCCAGAGAAAAATAAAAGTCAAGTTGGGTAAGGTATTATTCCATGCCTGATCAACTTCCGTTATTGAAAGAGACAAGCTTTTGAGCTTCCTCAGAGCCCTTATTCGAGTCTGGGAAAGGCACTCAGTGTCACAGATAAATTAGTTAACACATTCTAAGGGACCACTGAAGGTGAAACGGGCAGTTAACATCTACAGTTGTACCAAAAAGGAATGTTAATAGATTATGGACTGTTTGTAGTGCACCATAAATCCAATGTCTTTTATTGAATCTTTTATTTTTATTGTCAAACAAATTTATGAATATAAGCTCTCCAAAGTGTATTTGGTTGACATTTGTGACATCCAGTTTAGTTTCAGTAACTCTGCAGAAAAAGAAAACAGCTTTAGTTATTTGTACAAATGTCTTGTCCTTTCTTTTTTTTCTTTAAACCTTTATTTGTTAACATACATGAACATTCAATACAAGCATTAACAAATCTTATTCATAACTCATTGGTGTTATTTTTTAAAAAAAAACCATTTGTGTCTGGTCAACCTCTTATTCTGTTCCAAAAAAGTAACCAGACAATATAAAATTGATGTGCTACTGGTATAGTGCTGCCTGGTGGTTGTTGAAAATACTTCATATACTGTATTCCTCCATGACACTATGTTGAGGGAATCTGTACACTACCAAAAATTAGCTATTTCGCACAGGCAGCTAATAGCAAGTGTATAATGAGCGAGCAGGTCTATGCTGTAATTAGACACCGTTGGCTTTCTTGTGGCAAGTAATTTTGGCTTGTGGGATCCAGGCTAAGGGGTTGTTTAATTTCAGTGCAGACATTCATCTAGAGTGCAATTAAACAGACCCTTGCCAAAGCCCCGTGACTCTGAGTCAGCAGACATGGACCAGCTACAGATTTTTTAACTGCAGTGAAGACATACCCAATGAGCCCTTCTATGACAGGGGTACATCTAACTCACACCAGTTCAGCATGGGTTAGCCATAGCTGTGGGCCAAGGAAACCACATCTCTTTGTTCCTGCTGGGCATCTTCAGACGGAGACCAGCGTATAAAGGGAATGGTTCAGCTCAGCTGTCGGGGCTGGCCCATTGGGGAAACCCAAGCAGGAGAGAGTGGGTCAGATTCCATCCCTTTTGTGTATTCAAAGTGGGACACAAAGCGATGGAGTGAGGCCATAAATATGATCCCGGGCCTAGAGTTTCAAGAAGCTTGGAAGAATCACTTTGGGGTCAGTTCTTCACCCTCTCAGCTGGAGCCTGATAGAGGCTTTACAAGTCTCCAAGTCCCAGACACTTTTATTTTCTTTCAAAATGAAGCCTCCTGCTAGTGGGATTGGGTATGTCTCTGGCAACCCAGTGCGGCAGGAATGATTTATCCTATTAAATTGTTCATTGGTACAGGAATAAATACCAATCGTTGCTAAACAGCTTGCAATTACAAATAGAAAAATGCACTTGATACAACTGTACAGTATTAGTTAAAGTTATAGGATTTTTTGCCTTTGGGTTTCAGGCAAGATGAGAGGTATCAAAATACCACAAGGGACTCTTTTCTTTTCTCGTGGTATTCCCATACAGCTGGAATCTGGAAATTTAAAAACAAGACAAACAAACAAACAAACTATGTGTTCTACAAATGTATACCAAATAGATTTGGCTAAATTCAACTAAACATCCATATTTTTTGAATTCTAGTCCAGATTAACCACTTTCAGATTTACCTATCAAGCCCCGAGTCTATATCTACACTACACGTTTTGCCGGAAGAGGCAATGCAAATGAAGCACGGATTAGCATTTTTTCATGCTTCATTTGCATAATCTCTTCCAATGCCTAAAGGAGGCATAAGGATTTTGTGCAAAAAGGGGGTTTTGCGCAAAAAGGAAATGTCCACACTGCTTGTTTTCGCACAAAAATGGATAAGAAGAGATTATGCAAATGAAGCATGAAAAAATGCTAATCCGTGCTTCATTTGTATTGCCTCTTCCTGCAAATGAAGCACGAGAAAATGCTAATCCGTGCTTCATTTGCATTGCCTCTTCCGGCAAAACATGTTTTGTAGATAAAGCCTGAGTCAGCAAGATACTTACACAAGCATCTGACTTTAAATCTACTACTGTACTGTCAGATAGCATGCTGAATTAGGCCTGCAGTATAGTGTCAGACCCTGAGCAGAACTCTTGATTATTGTTCATCCAGCTGCTAACGCAGGGATTACTGCGATGTATATCTCCAGTTGCACATCTAAATTGCTTTAACATTTCTACCACTCTGTTATCATGGCACTTTGTGGCTGTTCTCTGAACAAAATGTAAAATCAGAACTATGATGCACTTTTATAGAAGAGTGAAAGAGCTCCAGGGCCATAAGATTGCAGCTACATTATTAAGAATTGTTTACTTTAATAACAGGGGAGAAATCAACACTCTGACACTTGTAGTCCCACAACCCTTTTGATTAGGATGAAGACATACAATTTCACACCTTCATTATCTATCAGCAGCTACAGCTGGTAAGCTTAGTTTTGCCTATCAGAAGTCTACAATGGACAAATGTGGTCCACGTCCAAAGAAAAGTTACTTTTTTGTAACACAATGAGAAACTCTCTTCAATGAGAGCAAAAAAGGGAGGAAAAATACTGGACTCCATGATCCGCTCCTGGCTGTGACTATGCTCCTAGCTGCTAGTTCCCAGCCCCGCTCCCAGTTGTCAGTCCCTGGCTCCCAACACCAGCCACCAGGATCCAGGCCCCTGGTCCTAGCCACTGAGCTCTGACCCTAGACACTGGCCCTGGGGGCTCCACTAATGCTGGCTCCCTGATGCCAGCTTGGCCAGGCTTTGGCCACCAGGCTCTGGCCACCAGCTCCCTGCCACTGGCCCTGACCAGGCGCTGTTCCTGGTTGTGAGCTCCGTACTGCCAGCCTCGGCCAAGTTCCAGCTGCCAAGCTCCAGCACCTGGCCCTGGTCACTGAATTCCACTCCCAGCTGCTGGCCCCAGGACTCTGCTCCCTGTCATTGCCCTGGGTCTCTGGTCCAGCAACACCCTGATGCAGCGTTGCCCACCCCCACCCATGAGTGCTCCAACCTCGGAGCATCCATCGGGGGATGCTGCCAGACCATGGATGCTGCCAGACCAGAGACTCCCAGACTAGAGAGGTTCAACCTGTACTTATTTTTCTCCATCCTGTCATCCTGGACTTATTTTGATTGTCCACTCATCAGGGCAGGGACTGTCTTTTACTTTGTTTTGTACAGAAGTGCTGTGGATGAAAGTCACAAAGGTGTTTTTGGAAAAAATGTAAGAGGCTTCTTAGTTTCTTAAGCACTTAGGTCATTTTGCAATGCACTTTTGTGTGTGGACATGCTCGTTCGCAAGAAGTTTTTTCAGAAGGTCTCTTCCAAAAAAAGCTTCTTGTGAAAGACGCCTGTAATCTAGACATAGCCAAAGAGTCCAAAGCTTATAATTGCCAATAACTCCACTCAGTTAAGATGCTGAAAGGAGATATACGACACAATGATTTCTAAAATGTTCTTAATATGAACATCCCCCTTCTTTCTTGAGAGCATTATTCGTTAGTGAAATAGTCACAATGTTGGTATTTGTTTTTGTACAGAAGTGGTGTGGATGAAAGTCACAAAGGTGTTTTTGGAAAAAATGTAAGAAGCACTGAGGTCATTTTGGAAAATGTGATTTAAGCTCCAAAGTCATTTAAACACTTCTGAACATTTTATCCATGATCTTATTTGGGTCCTAAACACCACTGTGACAGGAGCAATTTTACATGAGGTGGTATTATCACTTACATTTGCAATAAGCTAACCCTTGCTAGAGACCCATGTTTTTTCTCCTTCAAATAGAGCTCATGAAAGCAGAAAAATTCCTCCACACTGAGACATATAAACTCCAAAGTCAGGCTCTTCAAATTCAGTACTTCAGGGTTTTGTCGACAAAAGTGGATAAAACTATACCTGTGTCTACACTACCGCCGAGTTCTGTTGACAGTAAGTTGACAGAACGTGACAGTTTTGTTGATGGCGGTAAACCTCATTCTATGAGGAATAACACCTTTTGTCGACAGAGTTCACTAAGGCGCTATTGCATCCACACTGTGCTTTTTCAAAAGAGAGCATCTAGACTCTCTGTCAAAAAAGCAGCTTGCTTTGTCGATAGAACTGGCTGTAGCCTAGACACTCTTTGTCAACAAAAGCCTGTAGTCTAGACGTACCCTCAGACTATATACAGTGGAGTGGATTCTGGTCCCTGCTTTGGCCCCTATACACTACTCTGTGTACAATAGTCATGAAGCAGACTAAAAGATTTCTCTCAGTATTGGGGCAATATAGGACTGTATAAGTAGCCCAAGTCACCGGCATGGGGGAACTTCAATGATACGGGAAGATCAAGGGTGCAACTGTGGGAGGGAGGGAGCTGGCTGGAGAAGATGGGGGGTGGGGGGAAGAAGCAGCCGCCGGAAACCGGGCTGGATGCGGGCAGCAGGGCTGGCCAAGGGAGATTGGGAGGAGAAGCTGGGGAGAACTGGCTGTCTGGGAGGGGGTTAGGGGAAGTGGGGCTGGCCAGAGGCACAGTAGGGGAAGCGAGGAGGAGGGGAGCAAATCAGCTGGAGGGGAGCGGGACTGACCCAGGCATATGCAGATCTCGGGGCGCTGCCCTCCTCTCCCCCTCCCCCCCCCCAGCAAAGCATGAGTGAGTCCGGCCCGGGGATTCTATTGTGCCCTCCCACTCCCACACCCTCGAGTAGTTGTGAACTGTCTGGTAGACACACTCATGCAGCCTGAGCACATTTACCAGCCAGGCAGTTCGAAACTACAAACTGATACATCTAGTAATAATAAAACTTACCTAGTGAGAAAATACCAGACATGTTATATGTCTGGTATTTTCTCAGTTTGTTTTTCATGTATTTATATTTTTGGGCTGCAAAAAACAGTACTGAAAAAAAAGGGTTCCAACTAAAGTAAAAAGTTTGAGAAACCCTGGTCTAACCAGCTTTCTGTCTGTCTTACACTCCATTTATCCAATCCATATTCCTTAACTTGCTGGCAAGAATGTTGCGGGTGATCATATCAAAAGTTTTGCTAAAGCTGGCACTGGGGGCTTTGGGAGGACCAGAAACAACGTATTTGAATATTCATCATTTGATTAATGAATATGCAAATATGCAAATGAATGTTACCAGTCCTCCAAAAGTTCGTGAATGGATTTACTGGTCCCCGTGTCAAAAAGTTTAGGAACCTCTGCAGTAGTGGATTCCCCTTCACAGCTGTGTTCTCTCTTACCAGCCCTTCTTGTGCAGCTCTGAGAAACTGCTACTTTCTCTCTGGTACTTTATTCTCT